TTATTATTCCTGGTTCGGATGCTTGGGCTGCCAAAGTTGATGCTGTTGTTGCTCCATTTCTTTCCTCCTCTCAATTGTTTCAGTTAATATCAGAACAGTTACTTTTGTAGTTATTGCCAATGCTATTTTTGAATACTATGCTCTTCTCACATAAGGTCCCAAGCCTAAAACACCAGTTCTTCATGCCGGGAAAATAACAAAGCAAAATATAACAAACTGCTTCCCAGTGTTTCTTTTCCTGGCGGCAGCAGCTGCTGGTATTCACAAATATACTTTTTCCTCTTGATATGTATAAATAGCAGCAGAGATGCACATTTACCTGAGGCGACAACAACTGCAACAACAAGGGAGACAATAAACTAAGCAGCTCGCAACATCACTCAGTCTACGCTTTCGCTCCGTCATGGCTCAGTTCAGCACAGAGTTAACCCTTTAAGCTTGCTTTTGATAAAGCAGAGTTTTAACCCTTTTGTGCTCTGTGTGTGTAAAATATATAAGAGTCTAGAAATTATTATTCTTGCTAAAGATATGACACGTATATAAGGCTCAGGATCTTAATCTGAAGTCAATTAATTGTGCAGGTTCCTTAAAATAGACAACACGTTCTCCCAGATTCTGCGCTTAACGTGGATACGCTTTATAATTCAAGAATGCCTTAATTTCTTAACTAAATTCTTTATGGGGCCTATTGGAGAACTTAAAACATCTTTATGTCTGCCTTTTGATTTCATATAATCTATCAATAATAATAATGATAATAATAATAATAATAATAATAATAATAATAATAATAATAATAATAATAATAATAATAATAATAATAATAATAATAATAATAATAATAATAATAATAATAATAATAATAATAATAATAAATAGCATTTATATAGCGCATATCCCCGCTCAACAGCAGGCTATAACTTACTTCCCGAGAAGCATACAGTGCAAGCAGCTGATTAAGCGCTCATTATATATTTGCAAAGACAGAAAATGGCAGGCACACACACACACACACACACACACACACACACACACACACACACACACACACACATACACACACACGCACACACACACACACACACATACACACACAAACACACACACAGACATATATATATACACACACATTCACACACACACACACACACACACACACACACACACACACACACACACACACACACACACACAGAGGCACGATCAGATTCCCACCTGTACAGATGGACGAGATATTTTGATTTACAGTCCCTGTTTCCGCTTACTATTATGGTGAAAGGTTACTTGCAGGTTAAATTCAACAAACAAAGGTGATGATTAATTGAATAAAGGCTGACCTAACCTTGTTTGTTGACCTGACAATAACGTTCACCTCGTTCCTAATCAGTAACCAACTCAACACGGCCATTATTTCTTCCAGGTAATTCTATACATCTCCAGATATTTTAAACAAGAAGTAAGACGTTCCGGTTGCCCTGAGAGGAGGAAGCAGTGCGTGTGTGCGTGTGTGAGGAAGTGGAGGGGGGGGGGTGGCAAAAGAGCAGTCAGCCCTGCCACTACGCATGCTCTGTGAAGACGATCAGGTTACCGTTGGTTCCCCTTTTTGTGTTCAGAGAGTTTTTAGTCAGAAAGATAAATAAT